AAAATAAAATATAGAAGATATATCACTTCTTCCCTGAAATAGAAATTTAATATTTGGACAAAAATCGTAAACTTTTGATTACATTCAAAATATAGTATTATTTTGTATATATTTAAAGACTTATTTGAGGTTCTGGCAACCGGTGCTTTCAGCAGGTTTATATCAGCACCACAATGCCACACAGCTACCCTTACATCTGCTACCAGGAGGAAAAGAATGGCTTCCTGCAGTGGACAGTCTGGGTGAAGGAGCTGCCGAGGTGTACAATCCGCCCCTGGCCACCACTTGTACTGCGCTCCACAATCACACACGGCATCTGCACCAGCTGCATAGGGCTCTTCCCATCTCTTAGTGCCTGAGTGAGGTTTAAGATCTGTGGGAAGAAATGAGATTCATCAATTTGGAAAAGACCAAAAAAGGGCTAGAGAGATGCCTCAGTGGTTTAGAACACTGGTTGTTCTTGCAGAAGACCTGGGTTCAAATCCCAGCACCCACATGGCAGCTAACAACTGTCTATAACTACAGTTCCAGGGGATCCGATAGCCTCTTCTGTCCTCCGTGGGCATTGCAGGACACGGGTGTACTTACCTATATGCAGGCAATACATGCATACACGTAAAATAAAAAAAAATAAACAAATAATAAAAAAGGACCTAAAAAAAAACCAAAAAAAAAACCACTGCACTGGTATTAAATTAGCCATTTATCTCTAAATTTTTAAAAATTTATTATTTTTATTTTGTGTGTCTGACTGTATTGCCTGCATGTAGTATGTAAGTGGACCCATGTCATATAATGCCTGAGGAGGTCAGAAGAGGGTGTCAAATTCCCTGGAACTGGAGTTATAGATGGTTATTAGCTGCCATGTGGGTACTAGGAACCAAACCCGGGTTCTCTGCAAGAACAGCCAGTGCTCTCACTCACTGAACCATTCCTCCAGCCCCTTATTGCTGCAATTTTTATTTCATCCACTTACGTACAACAGCAGCTGCACCGAGGAATGTAAAGAGGAGTAAGTGCCGTATGTAGGCATTTACAGGTTTAAATACAAACAAGTGCACAGACCCAGAACTAAATAGCGGTTACCAACTGGTAATTCTAAAATACTATCAAATGCACCTATGTCCAGGAACAATGAAATCAGAGACCAAAAAGTAAAGGGTTCACACATTGCAACACTAGAATATGTTTAAATAAATATTTGCCATATCCTCTAACTCAACAAATAAATAAACTTACTGCATGCCTCCTATCTTGTAGGTTCTGCTGTGAGTGCTGGGGACATGACTGCTAAAACAAGTCAATTCCTGCCTTTGTTTTAATGAGGGAAGGTGTCAGTAAACATTAGTAGGTAAACTGTGTATTCAAAGTGCAGTGCTATGGGAGGGAAGGCAGAGGGCAGGTCCAAACGTGGATTAGAGGACGTAGGAAGGTATCCATTTAAAATAGTGTTATTTAAACATTAACTTTTTAAAAAATATTTTATTTTTATTATTTTTATTTATTTTAGTAAAAAAATTTTATGTGTATAAGTGTATTGCCTGCATGTATGTGAGTGCACCTGTGTTGTGCAATGCTGCGGAGGTCAGGAGAGGGCGTCGGATTCCCCTGGAACTGGAGTTAAAGACGGTTTGTAGCTGCCATGTGGATCCTAGGAATTGAACCTGGGGCTTCTGCAAGAGCAGTCAGTGCTCTTAACTGCTGAGCCATCTTTCCAGCTCCTAAAAATTTAATTTTAGATAGGAAAAACAAAACTAGGAAAAGTAGCATACCCTATGATCTATAAAGATACACTTAAAATTTCTACTTTTGAACATACAAATAAGTTTATGAACATACAGATTAAGTTTATGAACTTTTTCCACACTTTGTTCAGATTCTTTTATAAAAATTTATTTATTTATTTAATTAATTAATTAATTAATTAATTAATTTTTTTGAGCCAGGGTTTCCCTGTAGTTCCAGCTAGCCTGGAACTTGCTATGTAAACCAGGCTGGCCTTGAACTCACAGAGAGCCACCTGCGTCTTCCTCCTGAATGCTGGGACTAAAGGTGTGTGCCACTACCACACCCAGCTTTATTTATTATTTTTATTTCATTTTATGTGTATGAGCATATTGCCTGCATGTTATGTAAGTGCACCCATGTCATGCAGTACCCATGGAGGTCAGAGAAGAACATTGGATCCCCTGGAACTGGAGTTACAGATGGTTGTTAGCACCATGTGGACACAGGATCCCAACCTGGGTCCTCTGCAAGAACAGCCAGTGCTCTTAACCACTAAGCCATCTCTCCAGCCCCATTTTTTTTTTTTTTTTCCTCTTTTCTTTGAGTCAGAGTCTCATTATGTAGCTCTGGGTAGCCTGAAACTTGCTATGTAAACTAGGCTGGTTTCAAACGTGGAATGATTCGCCTACCTCTGCTTCTGAATGCTGGAATTACAGGCATGTGCCACCATGCCCAGCTATAGATAAAATCTTAATAGTTTATTTTCCTTTTTCTTACATATTGTACTTTATTTTGTACTTTAGGCATAACAACATCTCCCGTTGGGGTATCTGAAAACATCTAATATACACATACTATGCAATTCACTAGTTCTTATAAAAATGGGACAAGCATGGAGCTTGAACAGAAAGCCATAGTGGTATGTAACTTCATATAACCTTTAATAGCATAAATTAGAAGTGTTTTTAAATCTGAGAGGATTTGAACTACTTAACATATTAGGGCAATAAATCATTACTAGCAACAGTAGTTACAGATTACATTTTAGAATGGTTTTTTAATTCTTTTAAAGAACCTAAAATTTAAGTTTATAACATTGTCTGTACCATGAACCTAAAACGTGGAGCAGCATGATGAAGGAATAAAGTATTCTGATTAGTTTCTTCTAACTCGCTTGGAAAAACTCTACTCCAAAAATGTTAATCTAAATATACCACGTTAAGTAATGCATGGTATTTTTCTGACTCTGAAAACAATGCATGAGTGTCACAGAGAATCTGGAAGACAGAAAGGTACAAGAAAATGAAAAGGTACGAGATAATTTTCAAATGGTTATAGAGTAGGAGAAATTATGCAATCCTTAACTGCCTTAACTGTTAGCATTTATTTCTCTGAGAGGTCAGAAGACCCCTAATAATCTTGCATTTACTACTGAAGAAACATCTACCCAGCACTGAGTGCTGGAGAAGAGAGGAACTGCACAGGAGGGAAAACCACGCACACCCCAGAAGAACTCCAAATCTAGAAACAGTGATGTCAGCAAATGACCACAAGGCAGCATGCGGACAGTGTGGAAGAACACCGCCTTGCTTCCAATCAGATCTCTCCTGGACATACTGCCCACTTTTTTAAAAAGCTGCTCAAGGATATACAAATCTGGGAGAACTATGGCCTTCTTTTTTTTTAACATTTATTTATTCTGTATGTTTATGTATATGTGTGGTAGTGGGGGGGGTGACTGCAAGTATGTGCATGGAGGTCAGAGGCCAACCTCTAAGAGTCATTTTCTCCTTCCACCATGTGGTGTCCAGGGGACTAAACTAGGTTACCATGCTTGTTGTCAGGAGCCTATATACACTGAGCCATCTTGCCAGTCCTTAAAACCAAATTTCTAAGTGAAATGTGCCATAAGGGGCTGGAGAGATGGCTCAGTGGTTAAGTGCAGTGACTGCTCTTGCAGAGGACCTGGGTTCAATTCCCAGCATCCACATAGTAGCTAACAACCGTCTGTAACTCCAGTTCCAGGGGATCTGACACCCTCTTCTGACCTCCATGGGCACTGCCACGACACAGGTGCATTTGCACACATGCAGACAATATACTCATACATACAAAAAACATTTTTTTTGAATGCGACATGAGTTATAATCTAAGAGCACTGTGAAATCAGAAGAACAACCTGGGTATTGAAGGAGCATAAGACTGAACTGCTCTCTAAAGAAGCAGCATGTGCCAGGGCACCACTGGGAAGTGAGGAGGAAGAGACATGGAAGTGCTCAGCTAGGGGGGAGCAGTAAAGTGCAAAAAAAGGGCACTTGGGTGGAGCCACACTGCTAAGGGCAGGTAGCTGTACTGGAGGCTCAGACTTGAGCCTGGGCACATGGCCACATCATGGGAGTTTTAGATCCCAAAAAAATCAGTTTGCTGTTGAGACTGTTCTCAGGTTTTTGTTGTTTGTTCTGTAGAGCAGGCAATTGAATCCAGGGCCTCTCATATGCCATGCAAGCACTTTCCACAGTACTGTACCTGTAGCCCTGATGTCATTATACTGTGGAAGATGGACAGGAAGACAGGTAGCGATGCCATTTAGAATGTTACTACATCCAGAGGAGATGGTGAGGCCTCAGGAAGAGGCACTGCCTACATGCCTCTTATTTCACAGATGTAACAGGTTACCCAAGCCCTCCAAGCCAAGCCTCTTCAACAGAAAATGCAGGCATGTAGTGAGAAGTGACACACAAGCGCACATGCAGTAAAGGTCATGTTTTCGAGGCACTGAAGTGTTAGCTTCACTTTCTTTACAACAGTGCTTAATCTGTGAATGGGCTTCTCCGGCTTGTCAATCACTGAGCATGAGTTCTTCGTGTTTTCATAAAAGTTTTATTATTTCTGCCATTTCCTTTTCAGATCCTATAGAAAACACACTTCATAGTTCTCATAAATATATTCTGAGGTCCAGCGTTTCAAATAGGTACAAATAGAAAGTAAATTTTATTGAACCTTGTTTTGACCTATTGCTACTTAAAATAAACTTCAAATTGGTTTGTTGGTAACTTTCACTAACTGCTGGTCTGGAGTTGTGAGGAATACCTATATCCTAATTCAGTTCACAGCTTCCTGGGAAGAACTAGAGCATGTCACTGATGATGCATGGAGTTGAGACTTAACACAAACTAGGGCAAAGTGACTATCAGAGGATCACTAACAACAACTTGAGGGAGAGGGAATAAGACAGGGATAACACAAGCTTCTGGACTCGAAGTGCCAAAATGCTGCTGCTGATGTTTGTAATGTACAAAAACCATACTGTTATTTTGTTGTTATTGCTGGGCCTCTGTTTTCTAAGTGCTAATTTAGTTTAGAACAAAGAATAATACCTGCTTTTTAGGCTGACTTTTAAAAAAGGATAGCTGAAATCAGAGTTACACAATCAGGTCCATGGTCAAATGTACATTATACTTTTCAGGCTATCAGAAAGCTTGTTATAAGATTAAAATTAGAGGCTTGGCGTGCTGGTGCACATCTTTAATCTCAGCACTTGGGAGGCAGAAGCAGGAGGATCTCTGAGTTCGAGGCCAGCCTGGTCTACATGGTGAGTTCCAGGCCAGCTGGGGCTACAAGGAGAACCTATCTCAAAAAAACAAAAAAAAAAAAAAAAAATTAGAATTAGAAAATAAGGTCTGAAAGATGGCTCAGTGGATAAAAAGCATGAGGACCAGAGTCCAGATTCCCAAAACCCAAAAATAATCACAGCACAAGGGAAACAGAAAGAGGTGATCCCCAGACCAAGCTGGCTAGCCACACTAGCAGAAATGGAAGCTCTGGGCTCAAAGAGACCCTGCCTCAATATGACGGAGAACAGTCAAGGAAAACACCCACTGTCAGCCTTGGGTCTCTATATGCATGCACATACATGTACACATGCACATCCGAACACACATACATGCACACCACACACATACATATGCAAAAATAGTAAAATCAGAGTATCAAATCAAAATGCTTAAGATACTATCATTTTCTTTCTCATCTCAGATTTTGACCCTGTCATGCATTTTTGAATGTGTTTTTGGGTTAATTTAATATCCTCTCTCTCTTTTCTCTCTCTCTCTCTCTCTCTCTCTCTCTCTCTCTCTCTCTCTGTTTTTTGGAGCTAGGATCTTTCAAAGTAGTCCTTGCTGCCTTCAATTGAGTGAAGATCCTTCTGCCTCAGCCTCCAGAGCACTGGGATTATAACATGAAACACCAAGTCTGGCTCTCCACATGCTTTTTTTAAATTTTTTTGGTCTTTTTGAGCTGGAACTCTCTCTGTAGACCAGGCTGGCCTCAAACTCACAGAGATCTGCCTGCCTCTGCCTCCCAAGTGCTGGGATTAAAGGTGTGCGTCACCACACCTGGCTAACACATGTGGTTTTTTTAAAAACACTTTAGCTCCTTTGTGAATGAGACAGTCTATGAATTAATGAACTCAAGACAGCAGATCTGCACTGGCATATCTTATTTGACCTCAGAACTGAATGTCCTCTAAGGTAGATAGTTTTTTGGGTTTTTTTTCTTTTGGTCTTTTTTTTGAGACAGGGTCTCTCTGTAGCCCCAGCTGTCCTGGAACTCACTATATAGACCAGGCTGACCTTGAACTCACAGAGATCTGCCTGCCTCTGCCTCCTGAGTGCTGGGACTAAAGGCGTACGCTACCATGCCCGGCTAGGTAGTTTTTTGTTTTAACTTTAGACTCCTCATGTGCTAACTTCACCAATGAAACTTACAAAACTGTTTATAGCATTTTCAATTTAATTCAGATATTCCCACTCATCTGATTTCAGTTATCTATCACAGCCAACCTCAATCTGAAAATATTGATTATAAAATATTTTTAAAGATTAATTCCAAAAATAATCTGTAAGTTTCAAATAACTTTTATTACAGAATACTGTTATAATTGTTTCACTTTATTACTGTTGTTAATCAAATTTTATAGGCATGTGTGCACAGTACTTGATTTCAGGTGTCTGCTTGAGGGCTTAGGACAGACCTCCAGAGGATAAGAGACTGTTATACACTGTTAAGAATAAGAAAAGTCTAGAAGATGAAACATACTGATATGCCAAGTCAATTTTTTTTCAAGCAGAAACCAAACTGGCAGAATTCTTTCCACCTGAAAACTTAGTTAAAATCCATTTTGGGATGGTAACACTGCTATATAATTATAACCATGGATCCCTCACATCCCTTCCATTAATCTTGAAAGCCTTCTAGCTAGGCTCCTTGGCCCTGGTCTCCTCATCTGTGAAACCAATATGCAAAATTACCCAGCTTCACTTTCTCCAAAATCACTTCAGGATTAGAGATCTTGCTGCTGAAACAGTAAGTCCTACCTGCCCCTCACTCAAAATACACCTAAATTCAAAACCCCACACACAATTCAGAGAGTATACAGAAGCTGAAACCCAGAATAAGATCTCCCCTTCAAATATTTCCTATCACAACCCTTCTTTAATGTTGAGTTCCTACCTTCTCCAATCCCTTGGTGTGGATTTATTATAGTTCTAAAGGCATTCTGTACTCTAGCTCTATCCTATTCTATTGTAAATATTTGATGAATTAATAAATATCTGATTTCCTTATTTACCATTATAGTACTGTATATAATAGTGTAAAAACCATTTTTGCCATAACATGGAGGGAAATGGTTGTCCTACATTAAATATATGCTTTAGAGTAGGGACATTAGTTTGGAGTCACTTAAAAGCCAAGAATTTGTTTTCATTTCAGATCTTCCTTTTGGAATAAAGCTAAAGAAGCCGGTATCACTTGTGAATCAACAGACCTAAAGGTCCACACTAACAGACCTCTGGCTTTCTCGCTACTTGGGAGTGCTCAGGAGGAGGGGATAGGAGGACTGAGTTAAAATTTTGTAGTTCTCTCACAATCATGTAACTGCTCTAGAAAAGCCCAACATGTTCTAGAAGGAAAATAATCTACTGGCAAAAGAATTTGGTATTAAAATGCCCAAGCAAATGAACCTGAGGAAGAAATGGCCTTTGTAATGGGGACAAACGGGGCTGAGGATACAGTTCAGTAGAAAAATGTTTGTCCAGCATATATAGTACATGAGGCTCTAGACTGCACATGAGAACCAAAAGGGGGGCAAACAATCATGACGGGGAAACAATGGTTAAATAAATAACACAGAAGATTAAAAAAGTAGCTAATGGATAGCCCAATAGAAGCAGGATATTATTGAAATCAACTTCACTTCTCATCTACACTATACCTTGGTACAGCATCACAGGTAGTATTAGGAGCTCCACTTCTGTCTCACAGTGGGAGAAAAACTGATACTGTCAAGGACACACACCTCTTAATGGACAGTATCATCACATGGTGACCTACCTGTCCTCTCATCACAGACATCTGACTCTCAAAAGCAGCTTTGTCAAATCCTTTGTCAGTCTATTGCAGAAAGAAAGAAAATTAATACAATCTAGAACACCAAAATCTTTGAAACAAATACAGAATTTTAAAACAAATGAACTCTTCCATGTAGCAAATGAGGCTGTAAGAAAGCTTTCTTGATTTGACAACATAACAAGAGTATTTTAACCTCAGGTATTTTTGGAAAGCTCTAGAACAACAAGAAAAGTTTTATTTGCTTATATCCAGAAAGGATTTAAGATGGCTTTCTAGCCAGTTGAGTTTGGCTTTTTATAAGAATTAAATCATACAGGTATGCTGGTTAATTTTCCTCAACTTGACACAAACTAGAGATAGCTGGGAAGAAAGAACTTCAACTGAGGAATTATTTCCATTAGATGGGCCTTGGCTATGTTTACAAGGCATTTCCTTAACTGCTAATTGATGTAGGAGGGCACAGCCCCCTGTGGGCATGGGCTGTTTAAGAAATACAGTTCCTGCCTCCAGCTTCCAGCCTTGGCTTCCTTCAAGCATGGACTGGACCCTTTCCTCCCCAAGGTGTTTTTTGGTCATGGTGTTTATCACAACAGAAGACTTAACTAAAACATCAAGTCACCAAACACATATTACAATTTAAAGAGTAATTTTGGAAAAATTCAACTTTAAAAAAATTAATTCTTGATTTAATACCTAGTAAATATAACTTTACAAATTTATGCTACTGTAAAAACAAAACAATTAATTCTGCTGCTATGTCAGAGTATTCTGTCAGTAGTAATACAAGAAGTAACTGTGAGATTTCTTAAAAATATTTTTTAGAATTGCATTTTCTTTAATAATCAAAACCCAAACATTTAAAAAAGCAGTATGTGGACAAATATTTGCTTCATTTTTTCCTCTCCAAGAACTACACACATACACCTGCAGATGAAAGTAAGCTATCAACACTAAGCAAAAATTATGCTGTGTAACACAGACGTGTTTGCATCTCAAACTTGAGCAATAAACTTGACATTCTCAACATTAATTTCATCAACAGTTAAACTGAAATGATAAAAATAGTGCTGCAGGGATGTTTTAAGTTAATGTAACTAAGAAAGCAAGGTACCTATTATGGACTGAATGCTTGTGTGTCACCAAATTAATGTGATGAAATCTCATCTCATGTTAAGGGATTTGAATATCAAGCCTTGGAGAAGGTGGGCCTCCCACAAATGGAGTTAAGTGTCCTTAAGAAGTAGCTCTAGAGCTACTTTGCTGTCCTCGAAACGGGTAGATGCAATGAATGAGTTAGAAGAAAGCCACCTCCAGCTGGCTGATGTCACTCGAACTCTGATTTCAGACTTCCCAGCCTCCAGAACTGTGAGAAAGAAGTGTGTACTGCATAGGGGCCAGAGAGACGGCTCAGTGGTTAAGAGCACTGGCTGCTCTTGCAGAGGACGCAGATTTGATTCCCAGCACCCACACAGCAGCTAACAACTGTCTATAACTCCAGTTCCAGGGGATCTGATGCCTTCTTCTGACCTACTCGGGCATTACACAACACGGGTGCACTTGCCTACATGCGGGTAATACACTCATATACATAAAAAATAGGAATAAAACATTAAAAAAAAAAAAAAAAGAAGTACGTACAGCTTAAACTACCCAGTCTGGGCCCCTTCTTATAGCAGTCTGACCATTCACAATGTCAGGGCTAGGAACACAGCTCAGTGGTTAAATGCTTGTCTAGCTTGCAGAAGGCCCTAAGTTCAAACATTAACATCACAGAAACAAAAATAAAATTGAATGTGAAAGAAAGGTACATCATAAGTCAAAAGATCCTCCAAATTAAACATTTACTTACCTTAAAAAGTTCATAAAGATCTTCACACAAATCTTGTACAAAGTTCATGTCAGAAATGTAAGGCAGAATCAAGTTTCTTATTTCTTCAGAAAAAGGAATTTTTGCTTGAGGAAGCCAAGCCCAGTGAAATGGATCTAGTAGAAAAGATAATTCTGTTAATCAGTGGCAAGAAATGGTTTATTCAAATTCACATTTATCCCATTCTTTCCTGCAACTCCTACATTCTCCCAAAGAAAGGAAAGGACAAAGAAGTTTTCCAAATACAATCTTCTTTACAATCCAAGTTACTTGGATTCTAAGTTCGGATGGCCAATTAGGATGCTAAAGCACAGCGAGTTCCTAACTGAAGTAGTTACATTTCTGCCTTTCAGACAGCCAAGAATCAGAATTTGATAAAGCATTTAATTCAAACAGTCCCAGCTCAAAAAAATATCTGAACATATCAAGTTCTGAGGTTAGAAATTGGTGAGAACCCATAATTCATTCACAGGACCAGACCTCACCATGGGTGAGGTCACCATCTTCCACAGCCACAAATGATCGTGAAATGGGGCACTTGTATATATAAGATACTCTAAAATTTTAAATCATTAAAGTAAATAGATGGCTTTAAGCAATTAAAAAAAATTTGACTCTGGACTAGGGATATAGCTTAATGGTAAGACTAGTGGAATCTTCTGGGGGTTATATATGTAGATTTCAGAATCCCTAATTGGATGGCTCTACTTGTTACAGTTTGAATGTGAAATATCTCCCACAAGGTCACATGTTTGAACACTTAGTAGGTGGTAGTGCTGTTTTGGGAAGTTGGGAACCTTCTGGACTTGAGACCTAGGTGGCAGATGTAATAGGGTCATATGGGTGGAGCTAGTGAATTATAGCCCCGAGCTGCTTTCTGATGGGTTAAGATCTGAATCGTGTACCTCATATTTTTATTCCCTCCACCATTCATTCCCTATTATGGATGGTCTATATTTCCTAATCCTTGAGCTGCTTCAGAAGGAAAGTGATCTGTCCTTGGATCTATTCCTTCTCACTCCTACTCATTACTCTGCATGCAGTGAGAAGCTGTCTCGTTTCCTTTTACCATTCTCTGAACAATTTCATAAAAGAAAAGCTCTCACTCTCTGCTTACTTCTGCTTCTTATCCCTATCCTCCCTCCACTTCCACTATCACCATCCAAACATCCTCCTCTGAGCCTCTGAGCCCAAGTGCAGTCAGGCTACATAACCTCAGTGCAGTGCCCAACTCATCTCCTTTATGAAGCTCCTCCACTGTGGCTTTGGAGAAATCACTCTCGAAAAGCTTTCTGTCTTGTAAGTCATTTCCTCTCTTCTGCCAGCTTTTTCTCTCTCTTTCAATGTTCCTGTTCCCCCAGGCTCTACACTAGTCTTTTTCCTCCTTCATTTATTAGACACTCATCAAACTTTTATTATTTATGTTTCTGGCACTGTATCAGGAGATAGTAGCACTTGTTCTCCATTTCCCTGGATGACAGCGAATAATTCCATAGCTTTCACTCTCAGGATGACAACTAAAAAAATTTCCACACTCTTAATATGATTCCCCTGTAAGCTACAGACTTTTGTTCCCAACCACATGTTTAGCAAAACTTCCCAGATGTTTTATAGGAAGACTATAAACCTAACACTTTAAAAATGCAATCTGGATCTAGGTTTCAAATGCTTAAGGGGAAAAATAAAAGGATCTAAGACATTTCAAATCAGTTTCACAAAACATAGGAAAGGGGGGAAAAAGAGTAAGAATTTATGATTAAGTACAACAAATAAGACAGTAGGAAAAGTTCAAACTTACTGATACTTTAATCTACCTACTGAAAGACTGAGATTGGATTAAAAGAAATCTTACTGTTTTATGTCATCACCTAAAACAAAATGGTGGAAGTTAGAAATAGAAGTAAGGAACCCCTCTAAGCACTGTTAACAAAATGAAGTGAGGTATAGCAACATTACAAGAGGGGAAAAAACAAAAAACACTGAAAACAAAGTGTGATCCATTTCATACTAATAAACCCAAGAATTTTAATTAAACACTGGACCTTTAGCATGTGAAATACAAAGCCAAAAATGCAAGAAACTGACAAAAACTAGTTTTGATGACTTTGAAGTGCCTCTCAAAAAGTAATAGATTGTCTGGTGTGGCGACTCATACCTTTAATCTTAGCACTGGGAGGCAGAGACAGGAGGTTCTCTGTGAGACTGAGGCCAACCTGGTCTACATAGTGAATTCCAGGCCAGCTGGGGCTACAGGGAGACCATGTTCAGGGCGAAAAAAAAAAAAAAAATTAAGTGGACAAAATTAAGTCAAGGGCATTCTAAAACTAGTAACAAGTTTTAACAAGCAGATAGATGTAGGAAACATTGTGCCCAAACAAGTTCTTTCAAATACAGTCCTCCAAATTCCCCATATTTAAGATCACAAAGAAATTATCAAAAAGTGTAAAAAAGTCCACATAGGCCATATTCACTGATCACAGTACAGACTTTGGGTATAGGCTCAGTACTGTAAGTCTGAAATACTGAAAAACAGCAATGATGAACACTTTAAACACAAACAATGAACAGAATTTTTTAAAAATTGTATTTATTATTTGTTTTTTTGTGTATGTATGTATTGCCTGCATGTAGGTAAGTGTGTCTGTGTTGTGCAATGCCCGTGGAGGTCAGAAGAGGCTGTCGGATCCCCTGGGACTGGAGTTATGGACAGTTGTTAGCTGCCATGTGGGTGCTGGGATTTAAACCCGGGTCTTCTGCAAGAACAACCAGTGTTCTTAACCGCTGAGCTATCTCTCCAGCCCCATGAACAGAATTTTTAAGAAACAAACTGATCTAGAAAACTTTTTATCTAGAAATACATATATTTTTTGGCCTTTTTAAGACAGGTCTCCCTGTAGCCCCAGCTGGCCTAGAACTCTCTAGGTAGACCAGGCTGGCCTTGAACTCACAGAAATCTGCCTACCTCTGCCTCCCAAGTGCTAGGATTAAAGGCATGCACCACCACACCCAGCTATCTATAAATATTTTTAATCAAAATATTTCTAAATTGCTCTGATCAAAAAGAAAATCATAAAGGATGAATATGCAAAGCAGAACAGCAGAGCAGTACATCCAACTCAAGGTTTGGACAAAATGAGACACAGCAGTGTGTGGCCTGACAAGCATTTCTACAGTTTGGGTCTTCAGTCCTTCTCATAGGACCACATGTTGAAGGTTTGGTTGCAGGTCTATGAGCTACTGGAGTGTTGGAACTTTTGGAAGGTGGGGCTTAAGTGGAAGGGAGTTGGGCCACTGGGTGCACACCTCTGAAGGGGACACTGAGCTCCTGCCACATTTGTGTCTCTTTCCAGCTACCACGAAATAATCATCTATACCATGCACTTCTGTCACAATAGTCTATGCTAACACAGACCCAAAGCAACAGGGCCAAGTGACCAGGGTGTGAAACTTCTGGGACTATGAACCAAAATAAACCTTTCCTTCCCTAAGTAGATTTTCCTAGGCATTTTGTCACAGTGAAAGAAGCAAATAAGAGATATGAGGGAAAAAGTAACACACAAAAAAAGAATAATGATGAAAAAACATAAGCAAAGAGAAAAAAACAAGCAAATTGAAAAATGTGATGAATAAAATAATCTAAAAACTCAATGAATATGTAAACAAATAGGCCAATGCTAAACAAGAGAAAAATCTTTGGTAAGCTTTAACATGAAAAAAAGCACACTTATAAATTACAGGTATTTGAAAGAGGCATAATCATAGATGCAGAGATTATCTTTAAATTTTTAGTACATATTTTTATTTTTATTTTATGTATAAGTGTTTTGCCTGCATTACTTTATGTGTATTTAAGTGCATTATGTACATGTAATGCCTGTGGAGGCCAGAGGAGGGCATCAGATCCCCTGGAACTGGAGTTACAGATGGCTGTTAACTGCCATGTAGGTGCTGGGAATCTAAGCCCAGTCCTCTGCAAGAGCAGGCAGTGCTCTTAACCACTGAGCCATCTCTCCAGCCCTAAGGCAAATTCTAAACATCAGTTTATTTACCTTCTAAATTTGAATATGTGCAGAGGGGATTTTTCTTATAGGAGAATTCTACATTAAGCATTAAACTTATAAATCAGAATTCAAGACAATTTAAAATACAAAAGAAATGTTCTAAACTGGCTCCACATGCATCATAATCATCTGCAAAAGAGGATGGGAAGGTGTCCCCACTAGAAGTGGCAGGGGGCAAATCTTAATCATTTATAGTGCGTGCAACCAGAAACATGAGCACATAGGTCTACCAAGTATCCAAATAAATGATTCCTACATGATCTATACCTTAAAAATGACAAAGTTATCAAATCTATTTTCCAAGGCTCACATAGACTAAAATTCTAAAGCAAACACATCATTCAAAAACAAGTAAATGATACATAACCAGACTAAGTCTGCACCTCTGAATCCTTGATGCCTAGATCTGAGCCCTAACAAGCAATCGCACTTCATCCAGTTTCTTCTGCCATTTGATATCTGTCAATTTTGTACTTTTCAATCTGGGAAAATGCACTAATTATAGAATCTTAATACTCACATGTTCTCCATTCATCAGGATGTTTAAAAGGAAATGCTAGACCATTATCAATTGCAGCTATTTTAATAAGCAATTCTTTATCATTAATCCAGTTTGATTCCTAAATAGGAGAAAAATGATGTTTATAATAAACCTATAACAATATTTTCAAAGGGTAAATTACTGACAATAATTATTGAGATTTAAGGATAAAGTCTCTTATAAAGCTATAAAAATTAAGTTTCGAGAAAGAAACAAATTCATGTAGAAAGGGAAGGGGTTATCTTTGCAAAAAGAAGGCATTTCATAATTGTTAAAAATTGACATTATATGCTTACTTAGTATTGGTTTCATTTTTTTCCTCTCAAAGACAGCTTGTAAATATTAACTTTAAAGATAATCTAGACAATCCATTGCTTACATGTTTGATATTTACCCACGTTTGATATTTGCCCACTATCACTTTTTTTTTTTTTTTTTCGGTCTTTTTAGATAAAAAGCTGGCCCTGCCTGGCCTTGAACTTGCTGTGCAGACAGGATGGCCTCAGTCTTACAGAGATCTGCCTGCTTCTGCCTCTTGAGTGCAGGGATTAAAGGAATATGTCACCACTATTACTGATTTTTTAGGATAACAATAAAATGATCTTATTAAGATATGACTTTTGGTAGAGTACCACAGAAATAATTAGGTGACACAGAAAGCATTTCTACATAAAACTCTGCCAAAGACACAGCAAAATGTAATAAGGTCTAGCGGAAGGAACCTCAAGATAGTCTGACTACAGAATGTAGGCCATTCCTCACTTCAGTTTTTCTGCAGCAGAAATGGAAACACTAGGAGCAAGAGAAAAGTATTTCCTACAATTTAAAGAAAGATGGTTGTCATTACTAAATGTCTTTAACATAATAATGAAAAAACTGAAATAGGCAACTTTTAAGGTAAGAGTACTACCATAATCTCTGGTGATATATGCCAGGTTTATTTCTTTTAGTTTATATCAAATATCTTACCTCAGTGAAAGTACATAAAATACTCAGCACAAAAGAATGAAGTTTCCACCAAAATCTAATTACTCAAGAGCTATTACAAACGGGTACTTAGTGCACACTTTAAAGTGGCTGCTGTTGCAAGGCGTGGTGGCACACGCCTTTAATCCCAGCACTTGGGAGGCAGAGGCAGATGGATCTTTGTCTAAAAACCAAAACTAGGTGGTTCACACCTGTATTCCCAGCACTGGGGAAGTAGAGGCAGGAGAATCAGATGTTCAAGGTTATTCCCATCTACATAAGGAGTTTGATGCAGCCTGGGCTAGAGACCCAAGACATAAGTAAGTAAATAAAAAAATAAATAAATAAATAAACAAATAAATAAAGTGGTTGCTGCTATAAACACTATTATTTTATATCTACTGCTCTATGGTAACCTGATTGAGGTTTAATCCACACATAATAAACCCTATATTAAAGTGTACAACTTGGAAACACTTGTCATCTGTGTAATTTCATCCACGTTTCCTTGTATTTCTTGGCAGTCTGTCCCTCCCTTCACTCTAGTGCCAGGCAACTGACTGGTCCACTTCTTATTGCTGGGGACTCTTCTGCACATGGTATTCTCATATAAAGGGAACCATACAGTATGTTCTCTTACAGCTTCTTTTGCTTAGCATTCTTTGAAGATCCACCCATGTTGCTTTGTGACTAAAGTTTGGTTTTTGTTATTGCTAAGTACTATGCATATATACTCTTAAATTTCCTGGATAAATACTTAAAAGTACAAACATTACAAAGTGATGCAATAGCTTTAAGTGCAAATTTGGGAACACAGGTTAAGTATTGAGGAAATGACTTTTGGGTACTCAAAGTTGGTAGCAATTAATCTAAAATACATAATTCTGATAGTATTGGGGTATATGCAGTTTATTGTGTAAGGTTTTTTTCTTTTATGTGTATGAATATATTGCCTGCACGTATGTAAATACACCCACGTCATGCAAGGCCTACAGCGATCAGAAGAGGGCACTGAATTCCCCTGGAACTTGAGTTACCATGTGGGTGCTGGGAATCGAACTCAGGTTCTCTGCAGGAGTAGCCAGTACTTTTAACCACTGAGCCATCTCTCCAGTCCCCTTATTACGTAAGTTTAAACCAGTTTTTCACATGTGGTAGAAAAGTTTCTTTTTTTAGTTCAATAGATATGGTTCACAAGTAAAATATATGGTCCATTTTATTATGTAATACTGTATTACCTAATACTGAATTAAAATACTCAGAAGAAACTGAATTAGTAAAATACAAAAATGTCCCCAGATACCAGAAGCCTTTATTACATAAAAGTAAAACTGGTATTTCTATAAATTTCCAAAGTGCTACAGAAGTACTGAGTAGACATTTTTATTCTCCAATACAA